GGTTCATTGTACCCAATTTTAATAATTTTAAAATCTTTAAGGAATTTGTTATTTTTGTATTATTTTGCATAATTTTATTTGCGATTAAAAAAAAGATTTTGGCCTATTAGAACGGTTTTCGCATAACTTCTTAAAATTATTGACTAACATAGGTTTTAATATACTTTCGAAATTTTACAAAATTTTTATTGAATATTGAGAAAGTGAAGTCAATAAAAATATATATTGAACAATAACAAAAATATATTAATAGTCAGATACATAAAAACCATCTGAGGCAAACGTAGTTACTATTAAATGATATTAAGAACAGTAATATTGAGATACTTATGTTGCTGTAGTAAAACTGTAATAATATACTTATTAATTAATATTCGCACTTAAAAATTTACATATATATATAGTCTTTTACTTATTAAATACTTCACTACCTTTAGGACATAATCATAATTTGGATATGCGGTCGCATGTTAAACGAATCCTAATAAAATAAGTGCAATGTCTTATTCCATTTAACTTGAAACAGAATGAATTTCTTAACTCAAATGCTTTGATTATTTAGGAATAGATTTTTACATATTATATATAGAATTATACAGCTTATACAGAATATGCCTTCACCCTTATTTTTTTTTTTATTCTAATTTACTTTTAAATCTAATTTGAGGCTCGACAATAGCCTTTCTGAACGATTTCCTTTGATTTATGTATACATAAATTTTCTAATATCACGTTTTTTGTTTACAAATATTTATGAATTATCGGTATATATGAAATTTCTTTTAAAATATTGGATTTAGACTTCTATTGAGTCGAACCACTGCGAATGTGCTATAACTTTGATGCAATAACTGCCTCTAACAAAACCGAAAACGAATGGCATTTCAAATAAAGACCTGAATGTCCCCTGTAAAAATATCTCTAATATCAAATAAGGACTGGTTGAAATCTTAATCTAGATCGCCACAAAGATTACGATTAAAAGTCCCAACTTTTTCCAAGCAGAGATCTACTCGTTTCTTGTTGATATGATAGCACAGATTGAGATGCGAGATCACTTGTCAGTAACTCTAGGTTTATCCTACTAAGTAGAGACATTTTTTTGTGATTATAAGAATAAATTAGCTTCCTAGTTTACAGATGTTTCAAAATGTATCAAGAATAACATTTTTCAACGTAACAGAACGTAACTGCGTGACAAGTTATAAGTTAAAGCTTCTATAAAGCCAAACCTAACTTTCTATCTTATTTCAAATTCTTTTTATGCAGTAATAATATTTGGTTATTGTTTTAGTTTAATTATAGTAAGTACAATAAAACTTGAAATAGATATGAAAGATTATTTAGCTGGTGTCTGTCCTTACACTCCTTTCAAGCACCTCTCATCGTCATCGGTCGTCTCAACATATATCTTCAAAGTCCTTAATGAGTGTCAAAATGTCATGGCTGTAGAAAATACCGAACTTCACGTCAATTACAAAATTTATGTAACCCTTGAAAGCAAGGAGTACAACAATAACAACAACAACAAACACTTTTAAGTTCCTTCGTTGTATGGCATGTGCCGTACAATAACAACTTTTTGTTGTTCGTTGCATGTTGCATGCGTAAGTATCTGTCCGATTGCAGTTTGCTAATTATTAAAACTTGCATGTGTGACTTCATGAGTTGCGTAAAGTGACCGGCAGCGGGACGCTCGGTGCAATCCGTTGAATTACTTATGCTTTCCAATTACATAAACTCGCATGTGAGCGCCTTTATTCGATGTCGGTGAGTTGACCTAAAACTTCAACTTCGCTTTGCTAATTAAAATTCTTATCCTGGTCTGCTTAATCAACGAATATGCTGAAGTCTTTTTGTGGCTTTCTTGAGCATGAAAGTTCAGCAAGTTTTAACAACTTTAAGTATTTCGTAATACGCAAAATTAAACATAAAACTTTTAATTTAAAAATCTCATAATAGAGACAAAACTTTAGTTTATGTGCACCTAAACATATTATAAACTTTAACATGTTATCGTTATTGCATCTACAATGCGATTGTAGACAATAAATAAATGTATTCATTCCCCTTGCCTTACTCATCAAAACACTTAATCATCATCATTTAGCTTATAACTTAATTCCCAATTCGATACTAAATCATCATATTTATTTTAATTCAATTAGTCAATTAAGTTTTTAGATGTGCCCTCTGGACACACAATCAACATTCATCATTCCAATCAGCACTTCGAAATGGAGGCGCGCCAACATAATTTTTCGAACTTTACGACAAAATATAAAGCGAATTAGTAGAAATTTGATCGCATCACATTTTTTTCCTTCATCCAATTTGCATGATAACAAAATTAAATTACTTAAAAGAACGCTAAAAATAACAAAATTATTAGAATAAAATATTTAAATCAGTTTCTGCAGAAGACCGGTTCGGAGTGAAAGAACCTTTTTGTTCGAAACCGATTTAATAAACAATGAGTTCAGGCTTGTCTTCATTAGCGCAGATGAACGATTAATTATGCATAGTATTCCGACAAAAAAAAAGAAAAGAAATTAAATCAACATAACCACTATTACATAAATGTAAGATATTTAGCAGATTCTACTGAATGTTATCGTTCTACAGTAAATGTATTAAATCCACAGTAAAGAAACCACCGCCTTAATACGTAGTAGCAATGGAATAGTATGTGTATTATAAGAATCTGAATCTGATACCTCTTTAAAAGCCTTAAACTGTTTAGATTAGATTAGTCAATCTGCAATAAATATATCCACAGTAAAGAAAGCACCGCCTTAATACGAGTAGCAATGGAATAGTATGTGTATTATGAGAACCTAAAGCCTTAAAAGCCTTAAACCGTTTAGATGAGATTAGTCAGGTGACTTATTCGGTTACAAATAGCGTCTTTAACTGAATACTGTAAGTCGCTCAATAAAATAAATTTTCATTCCAACATCCAGCTAATACTATTAAAAATTAGAAATACAATTAGCTTAAGTATAATCACACAAATCCTTTCGAATAAAGACTGTCCAGATACATTTATTGTGGCTGTGAAATATTTAATCAAGGAAAAATATTTCACACAACAAAAAAATATAAACTAAATTCAAATACTTGTACCATTGCAACTAGATCTAAAGGTAGACTACATCCATCAGAATGTACGATGTTGAATATATATTTGTATCTGCAGAAATTCTAATAGAACATATTTTTACAGTCCAGACTAGTAGCCGATTATCTTAACAGGCACTGTTTTGATTTTGAAGAAGTTCTTGTTGTTTTTAGGTTCTGATGTAGTCACGGAAGTATTCTATATAAAATTTCGAATTTTCTTATAGTATTTAGGGTTCACTATTTTCCAAATTTGTCAGTTGTTTTTACATAATATTGTTTTTTTATGCCCAGAAATCCAAACGTTGCCTTTAAAATTAGCACTATTACATTACTGGTATATATTTGTATATCGTGAGTCCTACTCTCCACCGGGAGTGATAAATGTGATGAATGAAAAAAGATTAATTCATGAAAACGTATAAGTGAACACTAATTTTTTCTAGTGTTCTTCTTCTTGTTAATTAATACTCGTATTCTCTCTCTGTAAATTAAAAATTCAGGTTTATTTAATTGAATTTTAAGTTAGAAAGACTTAAAAAACGATAAGATTACTGAAATGGTACTACTTATTATTATCTATATTTGGAATAGATAATTAAAGATTTCTCTTGAACCACTTTTAGTTCCTTCCTAAGCGCTTTCTTTTGGTGTTTATACAAGAAACTCCACTGCAAGCACCTCAAAAATTTGTATGACAATCTTATCCGCTGCTCTCAATGAATATTGCCCTGATAACTCACACATATCAAGCTGCAATTTTTACGAGAAGTCCATTTGCTATCAGTCTCCAGTTCATCTAAAAGTAACAAATTTTTTTAATTATTTTATTTTCTTTAGAAACTCTTTTCACCAAAAAATGATTTGTGGATTAAACATATTATTATAGTTTCATAGTATGAACAAATTACCAAAAATTTATCACAAAAGCAAATTGCTTGAAATTTTTGGCATCTCCGGTCATTACTCAAAATATTTGCCATACTGGCGTTGCCTGAACTGTCGTCGCAACTTCATCAAAATCCAAGAATCCACAAAATGTGCAACAGACTCAATTAATTCCTGTCTACAAGCGAACGTTTTGTCAACGAAGACAACTTTTTGACGCGCTTTCCTTCCAGCCGGGCTGATGACTGGCCAATGAGTTACTTGAAAACCTGAATAAGCCGGCAGGGTTTCCAAAATTGCCAAAGTTTCTGCAGCAACTTTTTTGATTTCTTATTTATTTAAAATAAAATTTATTTTTATTTATTTTTTGAATTCTTTTAAATTTTTCATATATTTCGAATTTCTTTGCCAAATGAAATATGACAATTGCTCGCCATGAATTGTGCCAGTACTGGCAGTACAGGTACGAGTAGAGCACTCGAATTCAAGGTGCAAGGCGTAAAACTCATTGCAATATCTCCGAGCAGTTGTCCTTGCACACAGGAATAATAAAAGTTTTTCGAAGTGTGCTGATTCAGTTTATGGTTTTCGCGTCGATTCAATTGGATTGAATTGGATGGAATGGGATGGCGAAGTAGTCGGAGGGCGTTGAGGTTGTCGCATTAATTGAAAATGACAAATTTAATTTCTTTTATCAGATTTTTAATGATTATGAGATTCAATCTGAAGATACACAATAACCTCTGTAATGAAGTTGAAAGATTGATGGAAGGCATTGTGCGTATTTTATTCATAAATACTTTCATTGACAACAGTATGAAATTGATTTTTTTATTTAAGTTTTTATATTAAGTTTATATTTTGTAAGTTTATTTATAAGTTTCTTTTTTTACAGTTATTTTAAATTTTATTTAAGTATTTTCTCTGCTACTTACTTCCTCTTTCTTAAGCGCGAGTAACTTGTTAATTCTTCTATGTTATTTTCTTTGTAGTTCATCGATTGGAGTTTCCTGAGCACCAAGCATGCTAACTTCACTAGTCCTTCTGGTAACACGCCTACAATTAGTAGTTTGCTTCATATATAATTTCGTATATTCTATTTTTTTTCTTTTCAATAGGCTGTTATCAGCTGTTTACAATATCCTACCATTGTATTAGGTCATGGACGTTTGATGGATCCACCTGCACGTAATGCTATGTGGCGTTTTGGGTATCCAAATCCAGTGAATTACAATGACAATGAACTATTTTGTGGAGGCTATGCCGTGCAATGGGAGCAGAATAAGGGCAGATGTGGCATATGTGGAGATGCATTCCATGTCAAAACACCGAGACCACATGAAGCAGGTGGAGAATATGCGCAGGGAATAATTTCAAGATATTATACAGCTGGTCAAGTAAGTATTCAATAAGAAAATTATTCTAGTAAGAGAATATAGGTCAGTAAGCAAATGTGTCTGTTATAAAATTGCAACCTTTAACTTCCTTGCAGTATATAATAGTATAATATGTGTCCTAACACTTTACAGCATCTTTTTTAAATACATAGTTATAGTGAAAGGAAAATCAAATCTTTCCCAATTATCTAGTATTGAGGGTAGAAAGTTAGCAACCAAACGGATACTTTGATTAATGTAAGTATCTGGCCAACGCCAATATTGGAAATATCTCTGAAATTATTAGAGAACGATACACTGGTTCTTAATAAGCCTGGACATAAACACAATAGGTGTGCTAGTGTCATCTCCTCGAACGACGGTAGACATATGTCAGATTTAATAAGGCAAAGTCCTGTTAGGACTGATATTTACTTACATACTTTTAATCCTCTTCTATGAACTAAGTTGGAGATTCTACATTTTGAGTATAAAGGCCATGTCGGTTGATGAAAATTTCTGCCTGAAATACTGAAGTGGAGTTGAGAAGATGGTAGGATTTACAAATCCCTAGGTTTGAGAGATAGATTCTGTCTACTTGCCTCTATTTATCTTTTATCGTTGCAATAAGCCTTGCCTCCCCTTATCCTTTTGTACTGGTAGCAAAGTTGCTATCAAAGTATAAGCCATGACATAAGTAATTCAATTCAATACAATTTGTACTAGAATAGTTTGATAGAATATTGTCGTAGTCGTAGTGTCATCGAGCGGCAACAGTTAATATCTTTAAACCATTGTAAAATAAGGGTACCCATTTATTTAATGTGAATATCAATGGAAGATACATCATTGCCCGCGCTAGTGGGAAACGATCTCAATGCTATATATCTACTCAATTTAACTAACCTTTGAATAATGCATTTTGTGAAGCCCCCAAAATAGACATCCATTTATTAGGATTAGGACAGTATGGAGGTTTATACATCTCGCTATTTTAACATAATAAGTCACGAATTTCCTATCGCAAAATAGTTATTTAAATAATATTTGAAGTATTATTTATTATTTATTTATACTACTGGATAATAAAATTTATATTTTCATGTGTTTTATATATATATAAAGGGTTCAATATTTGTTGCCTTCACTGTTATTATGTATCAAAGTTTCTTTGTAAGCTCACATCATTGCTTTTGAAGCTCAATAGTGACAGTGGCGTCCAAAATAAATGACAGTAAATTACAATTATTTTAAGTATATATTTTTATTTATATACCTTTTATAAATATTTTTTATTTATTTTTTTTTTACAATTTTAAAAAAAAAGTACTTAACATATACATTATAAATTATTATAAATAAATTTGTAATATATAATGTAGTAAATATTACAATATGTAATATACATTAGAACTGATGTAAATGTTTAAATTTATTATATTAATTGCCTAATATTGTTTAATATTATAGCAATAAATAATATACACACAATGTTTTATTTTTTAGGAAATCGATGTGGAAGTGGAACTTACCGCAAATCATTATGGCCGGTTCGAAATGTTCTTATGTCCGAATAATAATCCTCGTCAAGAAGCCACACAAGAATGTTTTGATCGCTATCCGCTTTACATATCTGGCAGTAGTCGAGAACATCGATTCCTTATACCACGAGATGCTAAAAAGAAAGACATTTTCCGTTACCAAGTACGTCTACCGGCTTACGTCACATGTACACAGTGTGTGCTTCAATGGACCTACTATACGGCTAATATGTGGGGTACTTGTGAGAACGGCACTGAAGCCGTAGGATGCGGCAAAGCAGGTAATTGTATTATTTCTAAATTTAATTTGAAATTATATATAATTTGTTATTTAATTATAGAAACCTTCCGCAATTGTGCTGATATAGCAATTATTTCCAATACAGGCGGTGGTGTACCGCCAATATTTGTTAACAATAAATCTCCATACCTACTGTATTACAGGTAGAACTCTTACCTTTATTAATGTAGTTTATTATCTTAAAAATGAAAATTTCAATCTCTAAATATTTTTAGGGATTATCGCGCACCTGAGGAGAACAATATATTCCCCTTGATTGTACGGTAAGTTAATTCAGCTGTTTTATTATAGTTGTTTATTTGTTTTTTGGAGAAAAGGATGCGATAAATTATTTTCAAATCTCAGCTTAAAAAATTTTAAATATTTTATAATGAAAATAATTTTTTCTTTAATATTTGCTTTTGCTTCTAGCAACTCATCAAGGCATTAGCAAAATATGTAAAGTAAAAAGCGTGAACTACCGCTACACAGAAAGTCGCTGTAAATGCTTAACACACAAATATTTTTAGATAACGCATATTTTAGTTGCTTTTAGGAAATTTTTATGCTTTTAGTTTAATTATTAATTTTTAATTATAAATTTATCAACAATACTCGTAATTAATGGTGAACGCAATAGTCCAAAAAACTATTATTTAATAAACAAATCAAAACAAAATTACTTATGCCAAATAAATTAACAGTTTCGTTTGCTTTAAGATTTATTTTATTAAAATTAATATTAATATTTTTATTTTTACTTGTCGTATATATGTAAATATACATATATTATATTACACTACAATATCGCATTTATACACTATAAGTTTTTTGTTAAAGTTTTGAACTAGTTTTAAGTGCTTTATACATAAATCGCGTTTGGTAATGGTATTAAAAATATTCAACTTTATTAAATAAATGTTTCATTGTTACATTTTTAATTAATCAAATCATTGTTGTTTTATTTAAATTTGGTCGTGGATAAAAACAATTATAATGAGTAGTAGAACTTAAGAAATACAATTCTGTGTACACACACGGATGGTCATATTAGGTAATAAGATTAGGGATTATTTGTGACATATATATGAAAATATTTCTCTGGAACAAATAAACAAGGAAGTAAGAAAATAATTATTAATTAACAGGGTGCTGTTCATTAATACAGGTTGTGCCAGCATTTGTTGAATAATTATTAATTTCTAACTATTTTATTTGACTTTTACTGTAATTCATAAAGTACACAGAAAATACTGAAAATCTCTAAGTGCAGCGCATTATCCAAAATATCACGATTCATGTAATATTTTGGCATAATTCCGATATGGCGGGCTCACCCATTTGACAACGGATTTTGGTACAAACATCATTTTCAAGCCACATTTACTACTACGTTGTATATTAATATAGTTCGTTTTTCGAGACGTTCAGTGTTCTTCCACTGTTTATTTATTTTATACCTGGAGCTGCTTAACAATGTTCTTCTGTTAACCTCTATTTGTTACAGAAGTTCTCCAACATTTTGTCCGCAATGTATTCAAATCATATATAACAGCATTATTCCATATCTGTCTTCATCGTTCTTTTTTGCGCATCCGTAGCTTTTCGCATTCGATTATCTTAAGTCGGTTTCTTTCAGTAAAAATTCTAATTTATGTCGTAGCCATCAAAGTCTGTGATTTTTTGTTAATGTGTTATTACATTACTCTCTATGAGTTAGTGCAAGTCAAGATAATATTTCCTTCTATAAATAAATTCCTTTCGAACTGGCCGAAATAAGTATTTCCAACATTTTCATATCAGATATAGCAGGAGTTGTTGTCTCCTTTTCTGTCATTAACCACCATATTCAAGGCGATAGGCACTGTCAACACAATCTTATATGTTATATCATACTGTACTTTAAGTTGCTATTCATGCCGATATAACTGTAACTAGCACGCAGTTAACTTACCGTATTTCAGTACCATCTACCTAATACCCTTACGATACTAATCGGGAGTTGATATATAAGGCCTTTCTCAGTTAACAGAACAAAAATCCACTTTCTTTTCAATAAGTGCTATTTCAAATATTTCTAAACAAAATATTCTAAAGTAAAATATTAGAGTACTTCTACAAAAGCCAAAAACAGTTTAAGTAAATTCCATCCAACGATGCCTGAGATCATTTTCTCCAATATATTTTAATAGAAAAAAAAATCGATCCCTACATATTTACAATATTTAGTATTTCAAAATTTATCATTTATATATCTCTTTTAATATCCCTCTCTCTTTATCTCTGTCTCAATCACTCATTCTATCTATATTTCTTTCACCCTCTCTCACTCTTGTCTTGCTATATATTTCTCTCTTCCTTATTTCCTATCCCATCTTTCTCTGTTTCTCTCTCGCTCTCTGTCAAATGAGTTAGAATCACCGATTCCCTGATTTATACATAGATACTCTAACCACCTTACCATCGCACATCCATACAATTAAAACTTTTATTTACTGCATCATCAGAACAACAAATAATCACTTTATTTTAAAATATGTATATATTTAACAATACAATAAATTTATAATAAAAAAATTACAGATTCTAAATTTATTATATCTGACACTAAAATTTTAAATTTAACTTCTGTAATTTTCTTACAAAAATTTTGAAGAATCCCACATGAGAATCACAACACAAATATTCACGTAAAATGGTATTTGTATAGAAATTACTGGGAAAAATTTTACGACAAATGTCAAAATATTGGAGCAGTTTCGTAGTATATAAAAAAAATATATTTATTTGACCGGATTTTTGGTTTTATTAGTTGCTAGCAAGTGGCATCTGGATAGGTGAAGGCCATGATGAACAACAAGAAAACTGACACCTGCACCGATCCAATGACAATAGTTTTAATTAAATCATTTTTGGGCTCGATCAGGAACTTATCAAGTGGCATGGGAGTCACTACACGTTTAGGGCGCTTTCCATGTAATTTGGGTACACTATCAGTCTTAGTAGATTTAGGACGTTTTACACATTTCTTAGTGTTCTTTGTTTCCCTTACAACCTTGGAGCGTGCAACACTATTTTTATCCTTAGTCTGCGTTTTTTTATTTACAAGCTTTTGTTTGGCAGTTTCAAAAATTTCTTCTATTTTTGGTGGCTCTACTTCGGATGTCTCTTTTAACTGTATGTCCTGTGTACTATCTCCGCTTTCACCTAGTAAACTTGCTTTTTCGGATGAACATTCAGACAAATCGGAAAGCTTTTCATCAGCAAAGAAATTTTCTCCTAGAGTTTTAGAAAAATAACTGTTAAGAAACATTGGATCTTGATCTACAAGATTAAATGGTGTTAGAAGTCCATCCGACTTCAAGCAACTTAATAGTACATTTGGCTTCTGAGCAAGTTTATTAAACGATGTACACTTCATCTTATTTTTTTCTTCACCGTTAAACATCCAAAATTTAGAGTCAGCATCTGCTTTTAATTCACCCAAGGTTCTGTCTGCTCTCCTATATTCCTTAGCGATACCTATGTCTTGCTTAACACCTTCAACTTTCGCTTCAATCTGAACACTTTTTGCAATATCTTCAATCCAAGCACAAGAATGTGCTGACTCCATATTAGGAAGAGAAGTAACAAATGGAATTTCGTTCTCTGATTCGTTTTTACCTTCTGCATTTGTGCGTCGTAAGGTAGCCTCCAATTTTTCACCAAGCGCTTTTAAAATAATGATTTCTTTTTCGAGTGTGGGCACATTCTTGAAGATAACGTCAACTTGGGGCTTTTTTGATGCAGTTGAGTTCTCCAAAACAGCTGCCTTTTCTAAGTGCTCGATTTCATGTGCATTCATATCTAATGAAAATAATGCATTCTTAAGTATGAGCTCCTGACGCATTATATTTTCCAGTTTCGATTTAAGTATGTCCTTGAATAAGGCAGGATCATTCTCACGAAGTTTAGTATAACGTTCATCTGATTTAACTACATTCTTCAACAGCTCAGTATCTTCGTTAGATGTCAAACGCTTTTGCTGCTCTACTATGTGACAGAAATTACTTACGCAACGCGATGCATTGCTAAGAGAAGTTCTGGTGGGCACAGGTATAAGGGGTGCAATAACATATTCCTCCATTGAGTCATTTGATTCTTTCTTTTGGAGTTCTTGAATCGATTTGCAATCAATATCGATGGAAGTCATCACGTTTACATTAATACTGCTGTCTGCGCGATTTTCCGACGAATTAGTGTGCGAAGATGAAGAAGATATGTTACGAGCCTGCAGTAACTCCTTTATTGAATTTTTCGCGGAGTTGTTCGAGTTATTAGAGACACCTGTGTTTTCATTCTCACTACGTGGAGGCAATATAACGGTGCGCTGTACTGTGGTTCGTCGTATGTTTCTTGACTCTGGCAAAATAGGACGCACACCGGTTTTCCTTGGTTCTTGTTCGTGTGATTCTTGTTGCCATGGCACACTATTTGAAACTGGCGGTCCAAGACGATTTAGCGCATGGCCGCGCCGTTGTTCAGGCACATGTTCTAAACTACTTGCCTTCTTAACTTTACTTAAACGCTCCCAAACAGTCAAAGGTCTGGCCATAAGGACGCGATCTAAAATTGCATACAATGAAGAAAGCTAATGCCATTGTCCGAAACAATATCATAATTACTCCATATATATAGGATATGTTTTTACATATAACATATATATATCCTACGCTATATACGCTACGATATATCATATATTATACAATTATATCAACGACAGGTTCAAACTAAATAGTCGGCTACAAATATGTTTACTACAAAAATTGTTTTTTTTTATAAATACTTGTATTTCTTCATTATCTGAACAGACCTCGACGCAATATTGACGCAATAATGTTTCAAAATTAATCCTTCATTCCCTTTTTAGGATTTTCTTTTTATAATGTGACTATGCTGACTTTAATATATTCATATTTATTATACATTCCGGAATTTGTCAAAAAAAAATTTAGAAATCAAAAAAATAACATTCATTAGAAAGTTTTTATATTAACTCCTTGCAAGTACGGCCTACAGAGCACATCATGTTCATATCCTACACCGTTAATACGACTTCAATAACTAACAGGCTTACCAACATCCGTTATCATATCTCAGAATGATTACAGGCTCTCCGAGGAGGTATGCAGATCTTAGGTCAGTTATTGCTTAGTCTGTTGAACTGATAAACAAAAATCCAATCAAGGCGTAGAGAGGTATTATGAAGAAACCTCGCAGTTAGTAAAGAGTAAATGTGCTCAAGTGCACTAACTCAACTAGCCTCAACATAATTAAATTCAAATAAAAATCTAGTACTCACCACGATGGTTATTTTTGATTTTTTTTTTAATATCCTGGTTCTCGAATTCCTTATCTTCCTTTACATAGCTACCGAGCTTATTCATTGTGCGATGCATGATGACAAACCTGTGTTAATGGAATACACCTGAAATAGTCTTGAATAATAAATATATCAACTATTTCACTGAATTTTTTTTTTGAAATAAATGTGTTCCACTAAGGCTATAATCGCGTCAGACCTTTTTAAATCGGTGAAAATAATTTAATAACCTAGAAAATTTTGACATGTAGCTTTATAAATTACTGCTTCTTATTTGATTCTTACTCTGGTAAAAATAAATTTAATTTATTTAATTTCTCTCTTTATTGATTTATTTGAAAAACTTGGTCTATATGATGAAAATAAAAAAAATATTTTACAAAAGTATTAATTAAATCAATATATCTAATTAGCAGTGCGTTTACATTAGCTGAATTAAGGTGGCTTCATAATTATGTTAGTAATTGTATCTTCTTCTTCTAGGTGCCTTGTACGTTGGCTTGCTATTTTGATTGCTATTTTGAGTTTATGTACAGCCTCTCGAAAAAGTGATCTTGTACTTTTATTAAACCATTGACGTAAGTTCTTCAGCCATGATATTTTTTGTTTTCCAGGGCCACTTATGCCTTCAATTCTGCCTGCAATGATTAATTTCAGTAGTATGTACTTTTCCGGATGCCTCAGAATATGACCAAAAAACTCTCACTTATGGCATTTTACTGTCTCTAATATTTCTGTCTCTTTGTTGACACGCCGAAGTACCACTGTATTTGTAATTTTTTTTGTCCAGCTTATTTTAAGCATACGTCGATAGCACCATATTTCAAAAGCCTCGAGTTTATTCATCGATGCAACAGACAGAGTCAACGCCTCTATCTCATAGAGAAATATAGAGAATATATAGCATCGCAGCATTCTTATTCTGAGCGGTAATGACAGCTCTCGTGTGCACAGCAAGTTTTTCATCTTGATAAAAGGAATTTAATAGTAATTGTATAGCTATTAAAAATATTCAAACAATTAAATCAACACGGCAAAATTATTCTATAATTGTTTTCAATTAGAGAAATGCTGTCAGCAAACGTTCAAAAATAAAATCAAAAAAATATTATTTCATATCTTTTTAACAGTACGTTTGCACTTACAATATCCCCACAAAATGTACTAATGAGGTTTGATAAATATCAGTGTAAACATAGTATTCCATTATTCATTTCATTAATTTTTTCTTAGTGGTGAATTAACAACCCAATTAATAAAGTGTACACCTTAAACATTTCTTTTTCATTTTGTTCATACTCACCTTATTAACACGTTCATTTATTGCAATTATCTATAGATTTATGATATTTCCCAACAACAAAAGGAGAATTCTAAATACTTATATACTCTTTGGATCCTGTATTTTGCACCTCAACAGAATCAATCCTCTTTCTATTTACTATCTTACTTTTTCCTTCTTCCATTCTGTTTTCAGTGACCAGAAATGTATTGCCGCACCAGCGTTTCGTTCCCTACCCGGCATGGATAACTGGTGTGAAACAAATTGTCTACGCTATCCACCCAATTGTCCAGAATCCGCCTGTTATTGCCCGTAAGCATCACTTAATAAAATGAGATACATTATATTTTGCATATCAAATAAATCGGTAATAAAATTTTGGGTTTCAGACAAGAATGTGTGGCTATTGGAGAGATTGAAGGGCGTGAAGGTGCGGATACTTACTGCATGGATGAATGTCTTAACTACGGATCTGAATGTCCTGTGGATAGATGTCGCTGTTTCTAGGACTATGAAATCACTGTGATATTCTGTAACTCAGGCATGTAAAATTTCTAAGAGTAATTAAAAGCTGTGCTACGAACTCTGTGCCGTTTAAATATATATTGTATATGAATTTAATGTAAATAAAATACTGTGAAGTTTAAAATGATGAGTCTGTTTATTTTATAATAACATATTCGATTTTAAAAACATTCGGATATATATTCGATTGGAATATATATTTATTTATTTTCAAGTTAACACTAAAATCATATTTGAAGTTAACTAAGAATAAGAAACTGAACCAGTAGGTTCTTCGCCCATTGAAATATATAATATGTATCTTTCCTTTATAAAATCAAAAGTACTCGTACTTTTTTAGAAATACAGAAGCTAAGAAGCTGAAACTACAACCGACAATTATGAATATATACTTGGGCTCGTTGCACAAAATATAATGGATTCCAAGAAGCTTTGCCTTTTGTCCATCCATGTGAAAGAAATAACTTTAGACAAGCGGCGCATCCACTTGAGGTCAGCTGACATCCATATTTAAAATTACTATCAGCCAATTTCAGATAAGAACAACAAACGTACAAACTATTGAAAACCCTTTAAAAACAATTTTTTTTTATTATTATTTATTCAATATAAATAAAAACTAATTAGCAATATTTTTATATCGGAGACTTAAAATAGTCGATCTAAGTCCTTATTTATAATATTATAGTATATTGATTAATATTTAATTTAATTAGTTAAATCAGACGGTTTGGTTCTCTAAGCCGTCGTACGAGGTCTTCTGTTTGAAGGAGTGAGGAAGCTTCTGTGTTGCAGTGAACCTCAAATCTTTTTTCATACGCTTCAGCCTGAAGAGTGATTATTTCAGCTACTGCCGGACTACACATACAAGTCACCAAAAGGTCGCTGTTACGGATATACCATGGAGCATTGGTAATTGTTCCTAGAATGTAGTTTTAATATTATTGGATTATCTGTCTATGTGACTCAGATGTGCAACCCCAGAGTAAAGATCCGTAGTCCAAAATTGGACTTAGTACCTGCTTGTATATTATTAACTTGTTCTCGATTGACATAACGGAATGTCGTCCAACTTATGTCAATCGAAAAGAATGTTAATCTTTAAGAATATTATTAAATTTATGATCATGTGACTTTACACGAATATTAAGAAACTCTTCAGAACTATGAAATGACTATATAGCAATATATGTATATAGCAAAACAACATTAATCAATAACTAAGAAACATATTCGCAAACTAACATAAAACTTATTGAACAACTTCATTATTAAAAACGATTACCGAGATTATAGATGATTGTAGATTATAGATGTTAACATTAAAGCAACTGATGAAGCGAGATCTATATTTGATGAAACTGGGGACCAAAAACAAAAAATGCAGTAAGATATGAAAAATCAAAAAAGCTGGCCTTATGCTATTTATTTGTTAAAAACACAGCAGAGGTATATTACCTCTGCTGAGGTATAATGAGGTATGAATTACCTCATTTCATTAATTTGTTGTATAAATTGCTGCACACGGATAGGTCGTCATCAATTGATTAAATATTGGGAAAAAGATAGTGAAGTACAATATCACTTTTACATTCCATTCGTTATGAAATATTTCTTCAACATTATAATCCCTTATAGATTTCAAAGCTACGCCTATAGCTGTTAGTCAAGAAAAAGTTTGCAAAACGAAAATTTTAGTTTTAAATACAAAAGATTTCGTGTGGAATTGCAAGCATTTCCTTGACAAACCCAGTGCCCAGTGACAAACCCAGTGCGCTTCCTTTAAAATAAAAATATTGCCTTGGTGTGGGTTGTTCTATTTTATTGGGAATTTTTATGCGCAATGTACTTAGTCAACTGTAGTACGGTCTGTCTAGCTATCGATTTGTTACAATAAAAGTTTATTCGAAATAAAACTATTTTAAAGCATAGAACACATTTTTAAGATTTGTTAACTTACAATTTGTATTTATTTTATTCCAATTACTCCAAAATAATTTATTCGAATAAGCTTACATTGTAGCAAATACAAAAACAATTTTATTATTTGTACTACCAGAGGGAGACGATTTTCAAGCTGTCAATTTAGGTAACAAACTATGCCCCTTAATTCTGATTTTCGAAAATGTGCCGCAGCTCCTTGACACCATATTCGAAACTATCCTTACCGTTGGGCATTTTTTCCAAAAATTTTGTTTGTATGGCAGATGGCTTTATTATTGTTGGTATTGGATCGAGTTTTGCTATTTCTTCGTGCAAAATTTGAAAATCTAGCGTGCCTACTGATGAAACTGGGTGAGAAATAGAGTCATACCGATCGACGGCGATTAGCTCGCTGCTGCTATCATGGTATGAGGATATTGAAGTGTCCGAAGTTTCAGCATCAACATCCTCCTCATCACTAATACTCATTTTGCTATGAGCACTTTTCACATCATAGCACGAATCAATTGGTTCCACCGTAGTGGGAGCTTGCACATAACTTTCGCCATCCAAATAATCGATGGCTTTAAATATGCTTGTTATTGCTACATTCCAGTTGCTTCTGGCACGTTCTGCTCTTGATGCTGATAATGGTTTTAAGACACCCTTTTTCTGAAGAATAAAGTTTTCTCTACCAAAGACATTGTCAGCTGGCTTTGATTCCGGAAGATGCTGGAATTCTATCTTTGCAGAATTCACTATACGTGACCCATTAGACATGAACTTCTTCATGCAACCATTTCCATATTGTATACGTTTTTTATACAGAATTGAACTTTGTACTTTTTTAGGTGAGTCATTGAAGGGGCGTGGCACTTTCTTCGGAACACTCATTTTTTGCATGTTCAAGCGTGATATAGAATTACCATAATTAATACGTTTTTCAGCTAAGATTTTCTCCAAAGGTACAGTACCTATACTCTGAGTTTGTCTCGCAGAACTGCCACTTTGAAGTAAACCATTAAATTTTGAATATTCCTTACCCAACTCGTTGGCCCTGCGTATCATTTCAGCACGTAAATCTTCTTGAGTTTTTTTGCGTTCTCTTCTTATACGACGACCACCAGAAAAGCTACTCTCCTTAATTTCTTCAATTTCCTTAAAGAGACGCTTTAGACGTACTTGTCGCATTTTTTTCTCAATTGAGCGTTCGTTAAACTCCTTTATGCGATCATACTCTTCTTTAAGTCTCTGAAGCTCCCCATTTTGTTTGCTAGTCGCGACTAGGCGTCGAAAATAAGGTGTGGACTTGATTTGATAGGACATAGCTTGAGGTTTCTAAAATTTTTGAAAATAAGGGTTTCAGAACTGATCACGGATGACAAAATGACAAAGTATAATTTTAATTTGGAAAAGGACAAACAATTTTGTGTTTTTTGAAGTTAACAACTTTTTTAATTTTTTTAATTTTTTAAAATAAAATCAGAAACGAAGTTCACTGAAATGTATAAATATATGAACAAAGGTTATATCTACAAAAAGTTGTTAAATGAGAAGTTGATTGAATATTTAAAAAAAAAATTGATAACTATATAACTTAATAATATACTATCAGATTTTCATATATTTTTTTTTTTACTAGAATAATATAATATACTCTTTCTGCTTAACATAATGCCATGAGTGGTCTTTATTACCTTTACAAGTCATTATAAAAACCATCAGATTGATTTTTTGTTGCTGCAACACATTATTATAAGGAGTAGATGAAACACTTGTTGTGGTAACACGAGGCAATCGGTGGGCCTATTAGGATGAAGAGTGTAAAAAGAGCATGAATGACAGTTTAATTGGATGCTAACCGGACTAAGTGTGGTTCCCTACCCACTGCAATAGGGCAAAACCATCAATCAGTAGCACTCATCTCAGTTGTTGGATGAAGGCATGAAAACATGTAGTCGATGGCATAAACAATTTATGTATATATTTATGTATTTATACTTTCTTAAGTATTTATTTAGATCTTTGCTATATCGTGATTTCGATTAGGCAAGTACAGCACTTGTTGTTGGAAGAAGGTGCCTTTCTTGTGTAGAGTTTTCAGGCAGAAGGTTGTTGTGAATTTTGCTGCAGTATAAACGTGCTTAGACGTGTATAGATGGCTGTTCCCTCTCGTTTATACTTGAACTCACTGATATTAGCCCCATTCAAATAGGTATTAATGAATAAAAAGAAACATTGCGAATTCAAATAAACTCGAAATATCATTCCTACTGTCTGAAGTACACAGACTTATTCTCGTGAATACATTATGTTATTCTCAATTAATACAAGTCTTATACATAACATAAAAAGATACATATTTTTATTATTAAATACATATATAAGCATATACATGAGTGAGTGTGTAATCGAGTGTGTGTATAACAAACGTTTTAATTAAATGTGTAAAATAAGGTAAGTGGATGTTATACTTATTTAATAATTTTTTGTTCAAGAACATTTTTTTTCACACATTATTACTTAATACTAAGTTAAGATTTTTACAAAAGAAAATATTTCTTTTTTTCAATAAAATAGCTTAAATAGCAAAACTAATTCAAAATAACGAACGAACGAACGAAATTTGGAGAACAGTCAAATGAAATTTTAATTATTAATAATTATTGAATGTATATTAAAACTACATTAAACGGTAAATAAAATAAACTAAATAAATATATATTTAATTGCAAAAAGACTTTCAAATTAACTTAATTATTACAGAAGGGATACAGAGATTTTTTTTTAATTTTAAATATTAAATGCCAAAAATATGGAATTTGTTGAGAACATCGCCAAATGAATTTATATTTAACTGAAGTGCAGTTTAAAATCTCAAACGAATTATCTTTAAATTAAAGCCATCAATGCAAGAATTGCTTTAAGCCAGTTAGGAAATCAATAAGTTCATTTTAAACGTAACGTTTTTTGTATCACAAGTAAATTTTAGCTCTAAGACTATCCATTTTTTGCTATTACTATATATAGCTTGCAGCCTAAGTTAGCTTGGAAAAAAAGTTCCTTTTTTTCTTCTTAAGTTTTTGCTTCTCTGCTGCATTTAGCTCAGATTCATCCGCATCCTGAAAAAAATTCAACTCTTAAATCCACATATTGCATAAATGTATATAATTGTAAAAATACCTTATCTGCGTCGATTTTTTTACTTTTACCCAATTTTTTTGCTTCTTTCTGTTTTTTTCTTTCCTTTTTCGATAGCTTTGTTAAAGTTCTTCGGGATTCTTCATCATCCTCACGCTTGGCACTATGCAGTTCCAATTGTTGTTTTATGCTCTATTTTAATTAAAATAAATATCAGCGTTATTATTATCAGTACTAACTGATAGAAGAAAATCAAATAAATATTCTAAACTGAACTGATATGAAGCTCTTGAATCACGAATATATGCATTATAGAAACGCTTTAGAAAACTAACTAAAGTGGGATATATAGGAATAGAAAATAGGAATAGGGGACATCATAAAACAAGTGGCCTAAAAGTAATGCAATTGACCCATTAGCAGTCCACATGGAATGTGTAAAGTTCAACAGAAGATAATTATTAAAGAATAGCATAAAATATACATATAGAAAATATTAATTTAATAAAATACATACCAAATCTTCTTCTGCTTCGCGCAGCCTATCCATTTCTAGACATTCAATTACTTCATTACGCAATTGCACTACTTCCACTAACCGTGCTATAAGCGCCTCCTCTCTTGCTTTATCTGTATCAGTTTTATTGCATTCTGGCTGCGCCATTAACACGCGTATTTCATATTCCAAATCAGCTTGTTCCTGTTCTAAACGATGTTGACGACGTCTGCAAGGGGAATAAAGTTTAGTTAAGCATGTAAAAAAACTTCTCCCACTAAAATACTTACAAATACATCAGCTCTGCTTGTCGGCGGAAGAGTTCATTTTTCTCATTTACTAATTCGAATAACTGTAAGATAAGATCTTCAACTTCTTTGGAGTTCTGCACACAATCAGTTGCGGTTGTAGTTTTACCATCACTCACATCTTCAGTTGGTTTACCTATAGGTTCGCCATTTTGCCCTTCACAACGATCGCGTATCATTTTCTCTAATATGACACCTTGTTTCTCTAGACCCTGTTGCTGCACCTCAATTATTTCTAACTCGTGTCGAATTTCTTGTAATGGCAACATTTGTAACACTTTTTTAGGAGGTATAGGCAATGCGGGTGCCGGACCTTTACGTCTTTTCCATTTGCCATGCACTGATTTATTATAATGCAATGTCTCACCATCTTCAGCACCAGATGAAGCAGATATCTGTGATTGTCTATTACGATTTTTGGCCTCTTTATTGTCTTTCAACTTCTCTAATTGCCGATCGTGAGTCACTTCACCATTCAAATCGTCTAGCAAAGGATTCTTGTCGTGTGTGGGTGTGTCTATATTTGGAGGTATAATAACACGACGATAAACAACATTAGACTCTTCCTCATTATGCAAATGCTGTTGTTCATGTTTGACGTCATCACTTTTGCTCACATTCTCTTCATCCACATACTCATCATTTAGCAGGCTTGCATCTAATGGTATCAATCGTCTCGAACTTCGTCGACTTGTATCATCTTCCTCTTTATTGTCAATTCTTGACAACTGTTTACCCTCCAACAAAGCTTTTTCCTCGTCGGATAATGCCGAGTCTAATTCACTCTGCAGAGGGTAACTATGCAAGTTTTTTGACTCCGTACTAAGTTCTAATGTGATTTGTGGCAACAAAGTCGGATCCATACGCGCGGGTTTTGGTGGTGCTGGCGCTAAACGTTTCTTACTGGATTTGGGCGTGCCTACTGTACTCGAACTGGGCGTGGATGTAATGGAACCGTTCGGAGAGGCATTACTTGCAAACAGCTCTTTGACAGTTGGTGGGGGTGGCGCTGGTGCCTTGCGACTTTTACGCCCTCTTACGGTGCCACCGGAAGAAGATGTGAGCGAGTTATTTGAACCACGTACATCGGAGTTACGCTGTAGGCTTTGCGGCGTGGAAGTACCAAGCGAGTTGACACTGCCGTAATAGTCGCTGGAATTTTGAAGCACAAATTGTGAGTTTCTTTCTTGTGTGGATTTTGTGCTAAGACGTGGGGTTGGTTCCGGTGTAGGATTTTGTGATTGTGATCTAAGTTTGTGTGGTGGTATATACTTGTATTTTAGCATTTTTTCTTTACTTCTATTTTCTTTTTATGATTATTGTTTAGTAGTTAAATGTGATTGATAAGAATCATTTTTAAAATGAATAAGCATAAAAGGATTTACTAAAAAAATTAAAAATTATTGAATTACTTTTAAATAAAACTTTTACAATGTTAGATTTTCATATCAAGGCTACTTTGCATTATATTTTTAGAATCCAGAAGGCTACTTAATTAATGTTCTCTTCTCCGTTGAATTTAAAATAAACATTAATAATGAAGTATAATTTCACATTAAAAGTGTATCAAAAAATAGTATACAAAATTTTTCTTATTAAAAATCGCACTAACCGCACTGAACCGCTCGTCGGTCTAAAGCAAACCGGCCAACACTTGCCAATGAATCCGACTGACCGCGGAGCAGAAGTAGAAAAAATATTTATTTCTTTTGAAGTACAATTTCGAAGTACAACAATAAAAAACTGAATTAACAAGCATAAATTTATTTATTTGTTAAAAATCATGTAGGAAAATGCGGAGAGCACCGGCAGCTGTTTTTTCAACGCCTAAACAAATATGAACGCACGAAATGGAAAGAAAACGCATTTGATATTAAAAAACAAACCAGAAATTGCAGAAATAGGTCTTCAGGTACTTTATGGAAAATCGCATAGGAAGAATGTATGTATGTACATGTGTGACCAGTGAGCAGTGAGCAGTGGTAGTTATGTAAGCACTTGTAAATTTGGAAAACATTGCAGTCATACGTTTGTATGTGACGAGTGACACCTATTGTCAGCAACTCATTCAGTAGTTAGTAGTTAGATTGTCAGGTTGTTAGTTTGTTAGGTTGTTGACCAAACACACCATTAACAATAACAAAACCAAATAAACAACAAGTGTATTGTTGTCTCTAACAATAGACCAAAGACTGGTTAAAAGCTGAAGAGCAACATGGAACAGAGAAGACATATAAAGGCGCAACAGAGCATAATTTGAATGAATTCTTTTTTCTTGAAATTAATATGCGACGCTATTGTGTCTTTTTTTTTTGTTTATATCTAAAGCTACTTAATAACAATATAAATTAAGAAATGGTCAAACAATAAACCAACCAGGTGAGTCCGGCATGAATGTGAGAGTAGAGTACGTGGACTCCGATTACCAATCAACAAAAGCGGAACAATAACAGTTAGAATTATGACATAAGAAACACTATAGTTAACCACGAACCATAAAATTCCAAACAAAATGCGTATATGAAAGTTTCATAAAAAGAATTTCAATTTAATAACTTCATAAATTACGCACAACAACAACAACAATAAGCAGTGTTCATAAAGCAAATTTTATTTCATAAAACACTCGGTTAAGTACATCATTATTTTGTTTATATTAATTGGCACTATAAAGCAGGCAAGAAACCTGGCAAAAGTACACCTACAAAGCACTTATAACGACGCTACATTAAATGCTCGCACGCCCACACCTGCTAATTTTGTTGTTTCTTAACTTGGAAATTGTTCCGCTGCAGTACTGAGAAGAACAAGGCAAACTTTAGATAAAGAAACTAACAAGAATTGTGTTTAATTGAAATATTCATAGTACACAAAAAACCAAATGAATTAGAAAAAATTGCTTACTTCCGCTGTGGCTACAAAAATTCAAAGATACAAAGATACAAAGATACGACGAAACATCTTCAGTCAATGCATCTTAGAGCGTAAAGACAGAAGCAGTCGTCGAAAGAATGTCTGTGTTATCTCTTTTGAAATGTGAGAACTAACAAATGAAAACGATAAGGGAAGAACGCAATAGAAGATATTTATTTAACAAACAACAACTTACTTTATATTCATTAGGAGCAATGACTTACCTAATCTAGTAGAGAAGAGGTGTCACAACAGATTTCACACTTCCAACAGTTTATTCCAACTGATATTTTATAACTTTATCAAATACTGTATATTTTACTTAAAGAACTTATACATAAAATAAATCTTCTTCTTGATATTGTTTTGTGCATAAATTACACAATAATTGTGCACTATAATTATTAGAGTAGAAGGTCGGATCTGTGTCTTCGGACAACAGAAGTGTACACTATTGTAAACCATTGTGTTATATATATAATATTTATTTTATATTCAAACGATCTCACCAATCCTAGAATACTTAGTCCAAGTTAGAAAAAGAAGGTGTACAAATCTCATATTCTGAGTTAGTTACTACGAATAAAGTAACACACGCTTGTATACCTGGATATAAGAGATTCCTCAATAAAAGGGGGGTGAAACAACTCTATTCACTGGTTCGGAATCATATGCCAAACTACATCTGTGCTGAAAAATATCGTATATAAACTGTATGAGAGTACCTCCAGCAGAGATGTCCAAAAGCACATTCGAATCAACACTAAAAATGGCAGATAGTTCAGCCTAAATAGTTCTAAGCTATAACACAGTAAGATAAAAATGAAAATCTAGTGTCACACTATGAATAATTATTCACTGACTTTCTAACTGAACATACTGCTTTTTGCTACCATCTTTCAAAGATGAAACAAAACCTACACCGACAACTGCAGATTCTGTGAAGTGCAGAGCGAATTGGCGGCTTATCTTACCCACTCGCGCCGTACGAATCACTCATCCCAAAATATATAACGACAAAGAAGGGTCTTGAAGTAAATAACAAATTAAGAGGCTTTTAGTATACCGAATAGTGTTGACCAAGAGCAGATTCATTCTCAAGAGTAGTATTTAATCATACGAGTATCTTAAACTTTTTCATCTTCCAACACAATATCTTCAAATGCAAATAATTCCATTTAAATATTTAATTCAATTAAGAATTGTGATAAGTAAATCATTGCAATATCCAACAAAGACCACAGCATCAATAATAGCATTTTAGCTTTATTCTTTTTATTTAAAACAAACACCTCGTGAAAGTTTACTTAATAATATTGTATCAATCATTTATAAAATAAGTTGAAGACTTAAAATAAAAAAGCAGACAAATTAATAATGTGAAGGAAATGGTTTCCTTTTTATTCACCACGAGTATTAACATAATCATATAAAAAAGAGGATATCATTATTAGATAAATGCTTATTAAACTAATTAAAAAATAAGTCTTGTTTTATACTAAAAAAGTTTATTAACATTTCTTATGAGAAAGTTTCATGAATAACGCGTATCATGCAGTTTCCACAACAAAAACAAAAAATTTTACAAATATATTTAGAAGAAATTCAAACACTATATTTTATCCACAACATATAATAAATAGATTATATTAAAATTTGTATTCATTTTAGAGAGTTCAAATCTAGAGTAGGTGCTACGAAATGCATAGACACAATCACTACAATTTAAATGTGTACGCATGATAAAGCCGATCTAATCACACAATTAAAGATTACAAGAAAACCAACTAACTATAGTTGGTTGGTTGGCAACTAACTATAATTCTTAATTGACTCAACTTTATTAAGGTTGTTCAGATTTTTACAAAAGAAAAGAATAGAAATAGGGTTAATAGGGTACTTTCGACCGATCAAAGCTTTACGAATATAACATGCCTTTAATGCTACAGTCGTCCGACTTTAACTAACCAGAAGAAAATAGTTCCCCCAATAATTTTTTGATATCAGATCGTTATTAGTTAATGCTCACGCTATAGCATCTTTCTTTTGGCACAGATCAAAGCCTGTCAAGCCTGACAGAGAATGTGACTGAATGATAAAGCTTCTAAACAGAGCTGGCATATCTTTCAAACAAAGGCATCATATCATCCCGTTAAGCAAACCTATATTGTTGAGATGGTCAGTGAGACCAAGGTGAGTAAAGTAACGGTTTTACATAGTTATAGAAACAAACCAGCTCTGTTGAGATACTGCACTGAGGTCTTTAATTTAATACCGACTTCTCATCGGAGACTGATTGCGTACTAAATTATCCACAATAAGACCCCGATCTACAGAAATGAATAGATAATACAGTCTAGGTGAAATTGCCATTGATCCCAGTGTAATTAAGTAGAAAGAAAAGCACTACATGGTAACACTGAAACCTGTGCCTCGGTCATTTTTCTAACCACATATTATCTCATCAAATTTTTTTATAAGTTTTCTGAGAAGGAAAAAATTGACAATAGTCTATATTGAAAAAAGTTCTACTCATATCATATCCAGATTAAAAACCTTAAATGTTTTCATTTTGAAGATTTCTTGTCACACTTGAAAACGAAGCTGTTTCACATGCAACAAACCAAATTAATTGGAAAAAAATGGTATTCACCCAATTAAAGACATTGTAAAAATTGTTAAAATTTATGATAATGAGTAATTAATACATAATTAGTTAACATTTTAAGTAAACTTAAGCAAAATAAAATTCAAATGAAGCTTAAAACAAGTGCAAAAATTTTTACTATTCATTTTTTAAGGTAAATTATGTCACTGCCGCCACATGTGGCATTAACAATAATTGCAATCTTTATAGCTGAATGAAGTAAAATATGTAAAAAAAATACAAAAACATTAACGTTATTTGCAGTAATCGGAGCAATGCAATTAAATGCAATTTAAATTAAAAACTTTTAGTTGTAAGAAGGCGACGCGTTGCAAAAGGAAGGAAAGTCCAATAAGTGTTAAGAGCTTAAATAGCAAAAAATCTATAATACAAAATCTATTAATTCTTAATTATAGTGAACTAATACTAATGCTACTTTAAATGAAACAATAAAATTTAAATTAAATAATATAATTCTTCATATTAGTTTTAAAAGCATGCAATTGACCAGACAGCACCTATTAAGGTGTCGGTTTTACTCTTAATACTTCTGAAATAACAACAATGATCTATAGATATTTTGTGATAACAAAAAGATCATAAAATAATAGATTAGTAATAAAACTATATTCGTTCTAAGTTCGGTCACTTAGGCGCAATTTATTCCACAACTATTGAATTATGTTTACCTTTTGACATTGAACGGAAATACTTTATCATTATCTAAACCTATTATTTGACAAGTAAAGCTGTGGAAATCAAAGGGCTTAAAAGAAACGAAATAAGTAACTACGTGATTATCTTACATCGGATATAGATAAAAAAAACTATAAAGACGCTTATAGCCAGACATAAACACAGCGTAAAGTATAAAAATAATATTAAGTCAAAAAGAGCACAGTGTGAAGCCCATTGTATCACATTAAAACAAGACTCGGACGGACCTTGATAATGTAAAGGTGTTACATCAAGAAAAAAATATATGAAACCGCTTTTTCCTAGAAATGCTCTACATTCTACAAACTCCTAGTGACACCAGACTCAATTATAAAACTGACATACAACACTTTAACAAATCCGGAAGAGGATAAATATATCTAAGTTTATGAAAGAGGCACAATAGATTTATAGGTCGCAGTGCAAATTCCTTAATATATATATATGTGATGCACCGGAAGTGAAACTATTTATTCAATTATTCATTTACTTAGATTTTCCACGAATACTCAAATGACCAGACAACTTCTTTTCCCGTTGATTTCAGATACAATGACATTAATGATCTATGAATATTTTGTGATAAATGAAACAATTTTATGATAAATATAGCAATTCGTGACAAATCAATAAAAAAGGAGTAGCACAAGATACGATCGTATTCAAAAATTACACCGGAAGTGAAACTATCTACTCCATGTTCGGTTACTTAGGTTACTTAACACAATTCTTCACAATTATTATCTATTTTTTACTTTAATAGAAAACTGCGGCAAATAGAGCAGACGCAGCACAGACTTTAATATATGGGAAGTCTGAAAAAAGTCTTTAATTGAAGTTAAATGGCGATTTGCTTGCTTAAGAGTTTTTTCACTTGAAGTTTCTTTCCAAATCATGTGATTGTCATTAGCAATGCAGAAAGTTCAAAACTCCAGTGCCACAACACGAATTCGTACTTTCCGTTCTTGACTCGTTAAACCCGCGGCGCTTTGAGTGTAAAATTTAGTATGACAATGAATCTTCTTCTACCGCACAATAAACCGCTAAACCGTTTACAAGTGACAAATAATTTAAACTTTTTCTTGTTTTTTATTGTTTTTCTTGTTTCTTATTCTTAACTCATTTAAAGTTTATTTAAACGTTCAACGTTTAACGTTAAATGCGGTTAACGCGCCACAACTATTTTGAATGAAGTCTACGGGTACTATGAGGTATGAGGTATGAAGTTTTTATTATTCGTAGCCGTTTATTCCACTGAGCTGCATTTGCACTATGCGGCGATATGCGACGATATGCGCTGTGCGATATGAGTGGAATGTGCTTGAGACACGCTTAACTGTGAGATATGTATCTGAGTATCTGAGTGACTTGTATTTGCACGCAACTCACTCAATCAACTGCTGCTTATTGAAGATATTTGCGATATGCATGATTTGTTATAATTTCATTTAACTTTTAATTGCATGTGGGCAGTTTTGTTTAAATTATTACACTTCGATTTATCTTTTCGCTACTTGGATTATCCATTTTCAAGTTTTAGGTTCCCATACAAATGCAAATTAAGCTCAATTGCCATATTTGCCTAGACAACTTAAAATTCATATTTTTACAATGATTTTTAATTGGCTTTAGTGTTTTTTTTTCAAGTTCAAGTTGTTTAGAGTTCAACCGATTATAATTTACATAAAGATCAAAGTCTTATTGCGTTTACTAGAGCAACTAAACACACCACCATATAAATAAATATAAATTAATTGATTAATAAATTAATATACAATACAAATTGCATGTAGTTCACACTAGCCGACCGTAAACTACACTACAGAGGTCATTCTTTATACTTAGAATGGAATAAAAATAGACGAATCCCTTTATTTTGTTAAGAATACTATTTTCTCTTAAGATGATTAAAAACTCAAAAGCGCAACTTGAGCATTTAATAAGAATAGTGATAATTATAAATAGTTCTTAAGCGAATTAAATAGATAAATAAACGCAGAATCCCGTCTCAGCGAAGACGACCTTGCTTAAGTCCTATGAAGTGAACCCACAGAGAACTTTTAAGGTATTAGCTGACTGTACAAATTTTACATACTTTACATATTCTAAACCAGAAAACCACTGTGTCGGGTAAAAGGTGAATATTTTGAAGATGCGGGAGCTTTTACCAACATGAAAGTGTATTTACCAACATTTCTTTCTTCTTACTATATAGCCTGGACCGCAGAACCACTGTGCTTTCAATGTACACATAAGAAATATCACATAGATTTAAAAGATAAGAACAAATAATGAATAGGGATCTTGTGCCGAGTCCCAGATAGTGGCAGAGAAAATATTTTTCTATCCTTTCATCAGCCTTCAATTGCGACAGTAGTTGTTAAGGTATATTAGCTGCAACTATTCACAAAGAACTTATATTGCAAAAAAAATTCAAATCTGTTCTATAAATTATGTATATATTCGAAAACTAAAAGTTAGTTACGAACAGTAAGCATACTAGAATATTAAGCACTACTTACAATAACACTCTAACGAAGAGTAGATATAATAAACTTAAAACCTATTACAACATGGATTTTGATTAGTCAAACATGGGTTAGACTAATCAACTTTTACCCAAGTAAAAGTTCTAGAAGATTAAGCACGTCTTACAATTACAAGAACGAAGCGTCATTAGTTAACTTGTAAACAAATGAGCTTTATCATTATCGACGATTAAGCACGACTTTAATTACAAAAATGCAGCTAAGAAATAATGCACCAGAATTATTGTACCATTCGCAATAATGATGGAATAATGAACTCGATTTCAAGAACGGCCGGGTCTACGCCCCGGAACCACTCATCGAAGACGACCAAATGCCGTTCAACATCTCCCAAAGAGTTCACACAAGCAGATTCGGGCGGGCTACAACAGCAACAACTTAATACACTACACACCGGGTCTTCTCTTCAAGTCAGTCAATAACAGAGATGATCAATTATCAACTTCCATTCATTAATCACGTCGCGGACCACAGCAACAATCTTTCAAACTTTTACTACAAGGGTGGGCAATTTTTGTTATGATTTCACAGTAAACGGAGTAATGTCGAAAAATATGCCAGCGGCCTATTACCCTACAAATTGGATGTATACACCACTATATCCCTAATTTGGATTACACTATATCCATAGTGAGTACTATAAAACTGATATTGTAATTTACTCAATTATAACACATTGTCGACATAATCTTTCTGTATAGGAACTGCTTTGGTACGAACAACTACAACAATAATAATAATAACGCAATGAAAGCAGTCCATTTGAAAATCAAAATAATAAATATTTCATTATAAATGCAATAAAATAAAATCCTTGCTTATTCATTTTAAAATCAATTTTTGTATGAAGATAAAGTGTGTATAATTTATTATTAAAAAAAATACTTACACATGCGATCTGGGAGTGGGTACAGGCGTCCTTTTAGTAAGCGAAGAAGACAGGCTTGAGCGTCTTGAAAAGTTTTGATCATCATCGGTGTCATCGCCAAATGGATTACGTGATATGCGTGGTGGCGGTGGACGTGGTGGTGGTACTTTCGCTGATGATGGCGTCGATGCTGCAGTGGAACTGTGTGATTTCTCCAATTCAATCTCATCATCCGAGCTATCAAACGGATTTGAATTTTGTGCTTTTTGTTTGGAAGTTTTACTAAACGAAGCGTTTGAGTTAACGGAATGTCCAAGGTTTTCCTTATTTACAGTTTCTTCATCTTCATCTTCATCATCTGATTTGAATGGATTCAAATCTTCGGGATAGTCTTCACTTGCACGTCTTGTATCCGCCGTCTTCGTACTAACTTCTACAGTTTGATTTGTATCCATTACTTTTTTGTTACTTTCAATTTCTTTTTGCTTAAATTCTACATTTTCATTTTCATTTTCATTTTCATTGTCTTTTGTTTTCATATATAAAGGCACTTCATTAAGACTACTTGGCGTTTCAGTTTCAGGTTGAACTATGGTTTCTTCAACGGCTGACTGGCTTGGCTTGATTTCAGGCTTTTTAGTTTCAGTAGCAACTTCAGTTTCCATTTGCTGCACATGTACGTGCAATGTTGATTTGTCGTCACTTTCCTTTGTTATGAGTTCATGTGCATTTTCTTCAGCATTAGAATTTGTGGGAATTGCAATAGTTTTATTATTTTCTAAGGTTACGTTTTCATTATTTATATCTATATGATTATTATTATTATTTTCGTTATTTGAAATTACTTCAAATTGTTGCAGACGCGCACGTACTACACTCAGACGTTCTGTAGTTGCTGCATCTTCTGGCTGCAATTGATGCTGTTCTATGGACTTCACAGGTTTTTCACGCAATTCCACAGTGTCTGGCATTACAGTGTCTGCATCAATAGATTCTGCACTCTCATTCTTCATTTCAACGTCTACTGCAGACTTTTCTGTATTGTTGTCAGCGCTTTGTGTCTGCGCTGCAGTTTTCAATGTATCTGCAGCTATGTCTTTGGTAACACAATCATTATCATTAGTTTCACTTAAGACTAAATTGATTTCATTGCTTTTTTGTGTTAAATTGCTTGCTATTGCTGTAGTTGTTGCTGTTGCTGTTGTTGTTTCATTTGTTGTTGTAGGATCTTTGTCCAGGATGGGAGTATAACTGTGATTGTTATTTGAATTGTCACTTGATGAAGTTGTTATTCTTGGTACCGCAACTGGTGTTGTTGTGGTATTTAAATTTAATTGCAATTCACTCTTCCTTCTCTCCGGCGAATCATGTTCGTTACTGGTCTTTGTAGTTTTCTCGTGCTGTGCTGTTGTGCTGCTTAATTGCAGTTGTGCGGTAGCTGTGAACCTTTTGTTAGCTATTGGTGTTGTTGTAGCAGAAACTGTTACTTCCGCTGGTGGTTGCGATTTCGGCAAAGCTGGTGGCGGCGCATTGTCTAAACTTAATTCAGCATGTGTCTCATTGTCAGTTTCAGTATCTGAAGTATCCATTTGGGTGTCAGTTTTACTGTCTTCAGTAACGGATATCGGTTCACTATTCGCTTCTGGTTCATTTTCACCATCGATAGTATCGTTGAGGAATGTATTGAAAGCACTGTTCATTTTATATTGTGCTGCATTTGCTTCCATGTGCTTAAGACTCTTCGATTTTTCCTCATCGCTAACACTCTTCTGCAGCAGTTTATGATTTTGAATTGTTTTGCTATCCTCAACTGGTTTAGTTTTCTCGAAGAAAGCTAAACGATCTGCAATGGAACTACGCACATTTCTTGACTGCGGACCAGAAGCTACAGCTGTACTTGTACTTGCTAAATTGTCTGCAGTATGATCACTTAAGGGTGTACGCAGTTGTACGCTACTGGTGGATACATCAGCAGCGAGCACTTCTTCATCTGGACAAGTTTCGCAGCAGTACTCATCATCTACTTCTGTCTCATAGAAGCTGCCTGGAGAGAGTTGTGAACCGCATCGTGCACATTTAAGGCAAGTACGATGATAAGTTCTTTTGCCAACTGTTAGACGTTCTGCTAAAAACACTGGCAACTGACACTTTTGACAGGGATCACGCCTGGGAACACCAACGTGAGCCATCTACAAATAATAAAACTCAATTATTATTACTGAAAACGAGATTTAAAGAAATTTATTAGATTTTATTAGTAAACTTTATTAATACATTTTTAGAGTAAATAAATAATTCATTCATTTAAATTTCTTCAGTAAAGAAATATATTTTAAAGGTTTTTTGGAGTTGCAGATGACCTTTTGCACATAAAAGGAACCCTATTTCTCAATGATAGTCAAAAAATAATAAATATGGCTTTGCTGGACTTCTCTCTACATTACAACATTTTAAACGTCTTAAATTATTTCTTAGGATACAAAAACTTATAGCAATTAAATTAGATTCTCCTCTTATATTCAAACCATCCGTAGTTAAAATTCAAGAAGATTTATTTTTTGTAAAGCTGATCTACTCTTTTAAAAATGAAGATTTATTTCCAAGTTCCACATCTATGATATCTATGATAAGCTTTCAATAGTTCGAAAGTTTATAAAGTAGATACCTTAATCTAACTATATACCATATATTTTCGAAATATCAAATATTTATAAAGATAATAATTAATCGATGGTATACATTGAAAAGAAAGCAACTTCTACACAAAATTATTGTGTTTATTTAATATATAAACAATTTTATAGAAATATTCCGAACTAAATTCTTTCTAAAATTATTAATATTTTACTTGAAAACTTTAATCGAACTCATAATATAATTTCAAAAAAACCCATTCTAACAATTATGTTTATCTTAGCACTTATTGAGTAATATAATTAAAAGTATAAACAATTTCAAAATTAAAGAATTCTTTGGCATTGCATAGATCAACTGTAGGAATTTTGAAATACCAGAATGTTTAAAACTCGATAATAAAAAGAAACAATGAATATGATTATAAATATAAATATAAAACTTATCATCAAACATTCATGAGGTGCTTAACATTTCAAAGCCTATACTGAAAAATTTTAAAACCATATCAGAAGTTAAAAGATAATAAAATATAGAGCCGCAAAAAAAAAATATATATATATATAAATATATATTTAAGAGATATTGGTTGGACAAAATAAATCAATTATTTAAGTGAACTCTGTATATTATCATGAAAAAATGTCTTCATCCGAATATGTATTCCTTTTGTTTATTTGTAGGTAGTTCTAGGTCACATAGTACAGTACATGCTATGGATTAATTCTTTTTATTTTAAGACTTACAAAGCAATAAGTGACAGAATTAGACAATATCTATATCTACATTCCAACAAAGGCCCTGAGTTGGGATTGAAATTACTAAATAAATTTAATTCGTAATAAATAGATTATGTTAAGATAACGATCATTAGTTATTAATATTGATGCTATTCAAAATTTTAACTAATTATTATAAATAATTGGTTTGTAAAAATTGAGGATTTAAGCTTTTATGAAAACTAAACGAATTGTTTGATGATATTTTTTGTTTAGCATTAAGTAGCCTCAAAGGAAACATGACAAAACTAATTTTGCTTATAAATCTGCAAAAAATAATATTTAGGTTTTAAATAAAAATAAATATATATAAAATCTACTTTCTTACTATCAATATAAATGTATGGTACTAAAATAAAATAGAAATGAAGAGGGCACTGATTCTCAGTGGAACGAAGCAATGCGACAATGGCAGATCTTTTGTACTGCTAACCTTCCCTCTAACTGAACAGAATAAAGATAATAAGTATTTAATATAAGTATTTGTATATTAATAATAATTTTTTTAAAATTTATTAATTATTAATAACAATTAAATTGTTCAAACTACGATTTATTTGCATGCTAAACAATATACCATTATTTGTTCGATAAATCGTTGCATACTTTCAGGCGCCAACATATAAAACCCTTAACATACAATAATTAATACATGAATTACCATAAACATTTTTAGGCGTATTCACTCTTCACATAAATCGATACAGAACAATGAGAATGGGTTAAAATGTGAGTGAGAGATGGATGACAACTAACGAAGAAGAACACAAGAAAGAAAGCAACAAATAAGCAAAATTGCAAAAAAAAAAAGCAAAACAGAGAAGGATAGACAATATAGAACACAGATTTTTAGTCACACCATTCTATTGAGCTAAATATCTATTTTAGACTATATGTTTTAGTTACTTACTTATATCTAAAGTAGGTTAGTAACAGATTTTAGTAATTATTGTTATTCTATACTTTACATTAAGCTTACCTGTATTTCAACGCAATTTTAAAGCCGATTTTAAAGTTGTTATTGTATATGTATATGTGTATCTATGTGCGTGTACTTAAAGTGTAGATGTAAATGTGTGTAAATATGCATTAATAGTTGAAGATACTAAGATTTTTTACATTGCTTTAAAATGCGAAACGTTTAAAATTGAAACATTTGCAGTTGGAAGCGACGCACTTTTTGTTTAGATTTTACTCTTGTGACTCAAGTGACTCAAATATTCGATTTTTATTTATTATTTATTTTATTTTTATATATTTTCAGATTTAACACATACAAGCGAAATCATTTAAAAAAATAAAATCAATTAATTTTTTTTTTAATTTAAACTTAATTATAATGAACTTAATGTTTTTTTTTTTTTGTTATTTAATAAACTCTTTTAACATGTATAATGATATATAATAAGGTGATGTGTGAGATACTTTTATTTGCTTATGATTATCTTTAAGATTCAATTTTATTTAATTTGTTTATATATAATATATTTTTTATTAATAAATTGTTCAAGTGTTTTAAGTTTGTTCTGGATGCTTTTATTAATTATTTTTGTTTTATTTTTTCATTTGTTCGATTAGCACTTTTTGTTCTAAAAGTAACTGAGCATTCTTTTCTTTTTTGTTCTTGTAATTTCTTAACAAAATATTTCTGGTTTGTATTGTCCCATTATGTCCAGACTTTTATCATCCTGTGTTGTACCAAAAATGAATGAAAAAAAGAGAAAATACGAATATTTATAGATGACTTTTTTTAACAAATACAAAATATATAGTAAATGTCAAAATTTAATTGCGAAATTAACGAGGGTTAAGGGTTCAGGTTAGGGTTTGTTAATATTGGTGTACAAAGTTAAAAACTGTTTAGTAAGAATTAAAGCGTGCTTATATATTTCTACAAAAATATACTTATTTTTTTATTATTAGTATAAAAATACAATAATTAACGAAATTATGAAAAGAATGTTAGAGAAAAAATTTCTGTTAGTGCTTTAAAGCAGCAGCAATTTTGTTAATGCTTTTCGACGAGTGCATTCCAAAAGTACTCCGAAAGGCTTTATAAAATTTCAATTATTTACTCTTAGATACTTTAAATGTTTACATACAGTTCTTTATTTTTTGTTTTAAGTTAATCAATATATAGATAGATTTTTTTACATATTTCTTTATATACAATAGCTACGGAACTTAAACTCGATTATTGTTAAAACTGATTTCCTATTCTAAGCTATATCAGCAGCTTCACTTAAAGTTCCAGCTGTTATATACAATAAATTAAAATCTGAGATTCATGCAGCAAATATTTTTTAATATATATAATTTATCACGAATTTAGAGAAACAGCTTTTGTGTTAATAAACTTTTTAACATCCAATTTTATCAGAACCATTTATTAGAGTCCAAAAAAAATTAAAATAACTCGAGCGTGCACAGAAGCAATTAAAGCTGCGTTAGTCGATAAAAATTAGCTTCCTACATGAAAATAAATTAAATTAAATATTCCAGAACTAGTCAAATTTGACAGAAAATGTATCTAAATGAATATATATATATACAAAATTGTATACATATAATTACATATAAATTATATATATATAAAAATTAATTATTTCACTTCCTTTGAAATTAGTTTTGATTACTTTCCAAACAGACTGTGGAAAATAAGCAAAAATATTTGATGGGAAAAATGTTTTAAAAATTTTATTAATACATATAATATAATTTATTATATACACTAATTATTATTATATACAAAATAATAATATTTTAGAAAAATTAATATCTCAATATTTTATTTATAATATTATTTGCTTAAATATTTCATTTTTAATGAAAAAGAAGTTTTTGAAGAACTTTCTACAGAAAATATTTTTAAAGAGGTTTTCGGCAACAACAAAAATTTTTTTTATATTATTTTAATTAATTGAATTTTTGGTAGACCATACAGCTGTTTCGAGTATTACCAAATACCCATCATCAGTGGTCCTGGAAATAATTCTTGTATTTAATTATTCGTTAACAACTTTCGAACTCGTGCCCTGCCAAATTTGAAGGTAAGAGTCAGCGCTCCTTAACCAACTGACCCAAATATTTTTATAATAAAAATAAATGAAACTATACCATCAACTGTAAACTGCAGTTAATATTTCTAAATATATTACACGACATTTTAAAAGAAAAAAATATTTCAAATAAAATCTTAAAATAAAAAGTATTTTATTTATTTGTATTTTATAATTTATTTATTGAAATTTTTGTGTTTCTTTCGTCAGCCTCAAAACTATTTAAAATAAACGTGCCTGTTATTGAAACATAAACAATCGTTCACGATAAAGCTGAACGTGATCGTGATTGCTCACGAAAAGTAACTGAAGTTTGAAAAAAAAATAATATACATTTTCTATCATCGATGTGGTTTGGAAAAAAAAATAAAAAAGAATTTATAACAAATTTTTTGTGAATGAGGTTAAAAAATAAAAATTGACAGTCGAGGCAAAGTAGCGACATAGCTTCGTTACTTGGAATGATGAGAAGTAGGCAACCAAACTCACTTGTGTCTTATGAATCCCAATTAAGGGAGATGACGCAAAGTAATAATATTTTACCACAATAATAACAAATAAAGTTTATAACTTTTGAGGAAGTAAATTTTTGTTAATAACTATATAATTACTATGACTACAAATGTAACTATTAATGTTTTTTAGAGAAACACGAAGACTAAACTAATAAAATAAACTATATACTGATTTCTATCTTGCAAATGTTGCTGCGTGACT